CCCCCCCATGTCCCCTTCCAGAATTTGTCTCCATCTCCTCTTTTGCTTTATGCTGAGCATAACCTGGCCAATGCCAGAATTTCCACACATTGATATGAGGAAATTCAGCAAGAGGTAAGACGCATCCATGCCCAGGTAAAAAAATTAAGTTGTGTCATAAAAATGCTGGAAACTGGAGGCAAAATTATTCTTGAGACACTTGGAAAGCCAGAACACACACAATGATTTTCCACCCTGCTGGCAAGCCCTTATGTGGCATGCACAGATCTATGGGCGGATCACCCACAAGGCAACCTAGGTAGATGCCTAGGGCCTGTTGGCTGTCCAAGGGCCCAACAACTTTGCTTACAGTAGGTCCCAAAAGTCTATACGAATATAGGAACGTTTCACTGCTGCAATAGGTTTCTGTACTTGTGACCTTTACTTTAGCATTAAAATAACTATTTTATTTTAAAGTAGTATTAAACTCTAGCAGTTGTTGACATTAATACAATCAGATAAACTCACTTAACATTCTCCATATATTGCCTTCAGCTGCCATTTTAGAGAGAAAATAACAGAGGAAGGAAAGAAGCATACAATATCTACTTGAGGGTTTTTTGGGGGGAAATTAGAGAATTCCACATGCCAGATTGTATAAGGCATTCTGCTGATGGTAATACACTGATCATAATCAGATGTATCATTGCTATTCTGCATGAATCATTAAATGATGAATAGTTTTATATAATGAAGTGTTAATTTATATATTTAATATATTTGCATAGATGAGACTCCCTGTGTGTTTTATGTATTTAAAAGTACAGATGCAAAGGGGATGTTGCATACAATAGTTGAGAGACTATTAGGGATAAGGCAAAGATACAGAAGATGAAACCGCTTAGTCTATTTGTGTATATGGGAGGATAGAGAAGGTGGAAGAGCTTACAGACTTTTGCGGTAAAAAGGAGGATACAGAAGATGGAAGAGCTTACAGTCTATTAGGGTAAAAGGAAGGATACAGAAGGAAGAAATGCTTACATCTAGGCATGCACAGATACTTTTCGAGTACCAGTGCAGATACTTGGCATTTTCATGAGAACTACCAGGGTTGCAGCTGGGACCTGGCTCTGGCACTCCACCACTGTCCTGAAATCATTAGTCTGTATTGTTTTAGAAAAACTGTCACATGACGATAAACAAAAATGTATCAGTACTCCTACTTGTAAGTACTCGGCAAGTACCAGTACTCGTACTCGCAAAACTGGTATCTGTGCATCCCTTTATTTATATTTATAAAAACTAAATCGTACATTAAAACAGAGATGTACAAATCCCAGGAGCTCCGAGTTCTCCTTACAAATGACAGCTGCCTCCTAATTTTTTTAATTTTTCTCTAGTGTAGTCTTGGAGCTCAAAAGTATCGGTACATGTACTCGTACTTGTACCGAGTACTGTACTTGGTATCTGTGCAACCCTACTTTACATCCTATTAGGATATAAGGGAGGATAGAAAAGGTGAAAAAGCTTACAGTCTATTAGGGTATAACAGAGGATACAGAAGATGGAAGAGTTTACAATTTATTATGTAGTAAGGGAGAATACAAAACGCAGAAGAGCTTACAATCTATTAGGGTAAAGGGAGGATACAGAAGGTGTAAGAGCTTCCAATCTATTAGGTTATAAGTAAGGATTCAGAAGACGGAAGAGCTTACAGTCTATTTGGGTATAAGGAAGAGGTGTAGAAGGTCTGAAAGCTTACAAATATTTTTTTTTAAATGCATGTTAATACATGTTTTATGTATTGCGTGTGTTAGAACATCAAGGTGCATTAAAAATGTGTTTCATCACATTAAACACACAGTTAAAAGCATGTTATACCACAAAGGTGTAAATGCAGCCCGAAGAAGAAGTGAGCACACTGTGTCAAAAATAAATAAATAATGAATTTCCTTTTTTTGTTTTCCTGTTATAATATCAATGTTATATGTACACGGGGTGCTTGTTAGTAACATAACTTAAAGGGGAGGCCTAAAACTGTTACCCTGTCTAGGGCCCTTTTATTCTTAATGTTGGCTCTTTATTGATCTTTTCTTTTACGTGTATAAAAGGGAAGGAAGATAAAATTTTTAATAACAAGACAAATAAGTAACACAAATGTGTACCCAGGAGCATCTGAGCTGAAACTCAAAGTGTATGCGTCACTGAGTGGATTACAACAAGTCCTAGCAAGTCCACGATGAGTGGATGTTTCACTATCCAGCATTCTCAGTCAGACATCTGCCCTTGAAACTGAACTCTAGGCAAATATGAAATGCACCAATAATGCAGCTCTGTACTCATTAATACATCATTAAATGTACGTTTTTAATGCTAGCAGAACATGTCACGGAGTTTGACCTGGTATCAGCCAGCCTCTTGCAGTCCATATACAGCAGTGATGGTGTGTGAGAGCAAAAAGTTGTTCAAGGAGCCAATCAGTTCTTGTGCTGTCAAGAAGAAGGCTGGTAGTGGGAGAAAGCAGAGTACAGAGAGATGAGCTCATCACTGTGCTTCTTCTCCTTTCACTGTGCAGTCACAGGCTGGGGCGTGTCTAGGATGACTTGGGCTCAGAGGAAGTGGGTTAAATAATGCTGGTCATCATACAGTGGACCTCTAGTGGCAAAATAAAGGACATTTATTGGAAAGGTAGCCCCAATGCTGGCGACGTACACTGTACGTCGTCAGTCACGAAGGGGTTAATGGTCTATTCATTTTTATCTTGTTATTTTTAGCTGAAGTTTGCTTTAAAAGATTGGCATGCTTTACATTAAAACTAGGGATGTCCCGATACCACTTTTTCAGGACCAAGTACAAGTACTTCCCCTCATGTACTTGCCGATACCAATTACCGATACTTTTTCTTAAAGGGACAGGTAACATTTAAAAAAAACTATACAGACTAATGATTATAGGCCAATTTCTTTAATTTAAGACTGTTTTAGAACAATAAAATATTTGTATTTGCTTTCACACAGCTGTCGTGAAATTACAAATCCGATCATGCATCTGCCTCTGGGATCATTTAACCTATTCATGTTAGCAGGGGAGAACTGTAACTCCATTACTGCAGTGTACTGGAAGTGTGTACTATGGATCATTTAACCAAGTACACACTTCCAGTACACTGTAGCAATAGATTTACAGCCAGCCCTGTTCCAGCTTCCCTCACTCACATTTCACTCCGATCCCTGTTGCCTCACGCGGTGCCTCTCGTAGCCGGCGCTGGGCAGGATCGCTGCATCGCGTCTCGGTGCTCAGCCTGTGGGAGGCGCTCACAATTCTGCCCTGCTAACATAAATAGGTTAAATCATGATCCATAATACATATACAGCACACACTTCCAGTACACTGCAGTCTGCAGCAATAGAATGACAATTCTTCCCTACTAACATGAATAGGTTAAATGATCCATAGTACAACTACATGTTATGTTCTATTATGTACTATGGAGCATTTAATCTATTCATATTAGCAGGGGAGAATTGTAAATCTATCGGTGCAGTGTACTGGACGTGTGTAACGTACATGTACTACATATAGAGTACACTGCAGCAATAGATTTACAATTATCCTCGGCTAACATGAATGGGTTAAATGATCTATAGTACATAACATGTAGTTGTACTATGGATCATTTAACCTATTAATATTAGCAGAGGATAATTGTTAATCTATTGCTGCAGTGTATTGGGAATGTGTACTGTATATATGTACTACATATACAGTAGAGTACACTGCAGCAATAGAATTACAATTCTCCCCTGCTAACATGAATGGGTTAAATGATCCGTAGTACAACTACATATTATGTACTATTATGTACTATGGATCATTTAATCCATTCATGTTAGCAGGGGATAATTGTAAATCTATTGTCTGCCATGTATTAGCAGTGTGTACTCTGTATGTGGTACATATAGAGTACACACTGCTAATACACGGAGACAATAGATTTACAATTATCCCCTGCTAATATTAATAGGTTCTACATAGGGACCCCCCTTGCCCTCACTCACTGCTCACGATGTGCCTCGCTGGTGAGGTCGTAGTCGGCGCTGTGCGGGAGAGCAGTGGCGAGTCAGTGCTGGTCCGGTGGGAGGAGCTCCAGGTGGGGGTCCTAATTTAGCTGGGTCTTCTGGGTAGTCGCCGGCCAGCTAATTTAGGACACCACCTGGAGCTCCTCCCACCGGACCAGCGCTGACTCGCCGCTGCTCTCCCGCTCTGAAGGTAAAGAAAAAAAAATAGCGCAAGCATCGGCGCTATGAATCGGGGCATTTCGACATACTTGTCAAAATGCCCTGTATCGGTCCCAATACCGATGCTAGTATCGGTATCGGGACATCCCTAATTAAAACCCACCATATGAAAATTCACATGAACAAACACAAATAAAATGTATATTTTGTATATTTCCTTGTCACCATTGCTTACATATTTTCTTCTTCTAGGGAGTTTATAATGAAGTTGAAGGCCTACAGTCACTTCTATGGCAGCCTCCCTGCACTTGTCTGTCGTCACAGCACTGTCTCTGAAAACGATACCTCTTGCTGGAATGGACAGGAGATTGTTGAGAAGTAAGTCTCTACTATGCCAAGAATTTGTACTAAACCTCTGTAGGCTAAAAGCATAATGTCCAAACCATCCAGTTTCCCCGCAAAAGATGTCCAGTCTATTGGCATCTGGCTATTTGCAGTTCTGCAACTGACATTACTAGCAAATGAGCATGTAAATATTTTTCAAAGCTGGCGATCATCCAGGGGCTTGTGATGGTTTCCTTCCTTCTATCCATTTTTTCCCATCTTATCTATAGCAAACTTTAGGTTGTTCATAGTTGGTTAGACATCTCACTAACGGTGGTAACATATATATATTGATTTGATAATTTATTTGATCATTAATTGTGACTAAATAGATCAGATTGAATAAAAATCACAAACCAAAGATCTTTGACTCATTTCCGTTTAATCAGTCCTTGATCGATTTTGACTCATGCTTTGCTTTGATCAGCCGATCTTCTAAACGACTAAACAAATATCTGCATGTGTGTAAAGGTGCCCATACACTGCTCGATTCTCGTACGAGAATCGGGCGAAATCCAGCGATCGTACGAGAATCGAGCAGTGTGAACTAAGACGTGCGACCGTTTCTACTGTACGGTCGCACGTCTTTTGTCGAGCCAACATGCTTGAAAACCAGCCGAGAATCGTACGATTCTCGGGCGGGTTTCTAGCCTGCTAGCCCGGTAGCTGCGGAACGGGCCGGTGTGCGCACACTGCCCGTTCTGCATTGCCGTCATCGGAAGCCCGCCCCTCAGCGGGGCGGGCTTCCGATGATCGCAAGTACGATCTGCCCGTCCAAGGTGGGCAGATCGTACGGGCTTTTAATGAGCATACGACCATCGCAAGACAAAAGTCTTGCGATGGTCGTAAGGTGTATGGGCACCTTAAGAGAACTGACTGTAATACAAATAGATTAAAAGCTGTCATGAGAATGACAGGCAGTGATGTACTTGCCTCTTTTCAAGTGAGTTGTCTGGGAGCCAGGACCTATAATTTTTCTGGCACAGCAGTGGCGGAGCACATGATTTGCTTTAATCCTTAGTTTCTCTACATATAGGATTGGGCCCCAGTCTTAAGGTGCCCATACACCTGCCGATTATCGTACGATAATCACGGGTGATCCCGCGATCGTACGATAATCGGCAGGTGTATGGGCAGCATGCGACCACATCTACTGTACGGTCGCATGACTTTCGTCTTCCTGGCACGCTGGAAAACCCGCTCAGCATTGCAATCATCGGCAAGCCCTCCCCACAGTGCGCAAGTGCACACTGCCCGTTCAGCATTGCTGTCATCGGAATGCCCGCCCCTCAGCGGGGTGGGCTTGCGATCATCGCAAGTACGATCTGCCTGTCCAAGATGGGCAGGTCGTACGAAATTTTAATGACCTTACAACCATCGCACAACGAAAATCGCGCAATGGTTGTAAGGTGTATGGCCAGCTTAAAGGTGATTTTCTAACAAGTTGGACTACCTCTATGGGTTTCATCTGCCAGGGGATCTAGCTACCTACCTGATGGAGAGCAGAAACATCCTGACTATTGCTCAAAGCTTAGCAAGCATTGTAGTTTACAGGAAAAGTATAGTGTATGTTTATTGAGCACATATTTTGAATTAATATAGTATCTACATTAAAGTAGGTACTGCTTTTAAATGTTCACTTGGTAGTTCCTTCATATTTTTGCCATTGTTTAAACACAGAAATTTGTAAATTAGCACCTAGAGGAAGCAATGTGTGTCATTGCAATCACGCATTCTTTCTGTTCAGTTAAGGTATCAGTCACACAGCAATTGTACTTTAAATTTTATTTTATTTTTCAAATGACGTTAAAATACAATAACAAAATGATAAGAAAACAGTACCCCCATAATACAGCATTAATCAAAGACAGCAAATATAAGATACAGAAGCAATAGTCAAGGAACACTCCTGAGAACTCACCTCACAGTAGTATCAAAAAGCCCATAATCTTTTAGAAAATACAAAAACAAATGCATTGATTTGTATTGTGTAGGCACTCAAAGAAAGTAAAGCAGCATAAACAACGGTCTCTCTGCAGAGATTCAGCACACGCCCTAGCTGTAGAGCCCTGCAATCATCCACACACATGTTCCCTTTTGATTACCTCTTATTGGGACGTAGCAGGAGGTGTGTTGAACCCCTGCAGAGAGAGCAGAGAGACCACTGTTTCTTCAGAGAGCAAAGATTCTTCTCCCCAGTATGCTGGCAGGCTTCAACCTTTTCTATTGTTCATTTGGGCTTTACTTTAGTTCTATGTTAGGGGTTACGTGGGGGGGGGGTTACTTTAGGGCTAAAATTGTTACATGTAAATATTAGGATAGGTGATGCTTGCAGAACATGGGTGATTTTTATGTCTATTGGTTGCATTTTTTATTTTGCCATTCAAAGTTGTGCACTAAAGGTGCTGTGCTGGGGGCCAACACCCAAAAGTAAAAGACATCCTTTTGTGACTATCATTGCTATCGTCAAAATGAACACATATATATCTAACATTTAAAGGATACATACAATTAACTGGTTCCCCTCACCCAGGGATTTGGTCATAGGTTATGCTTATTTGTAAATGCTTCTCCTGCTAGAACTTCTCTGAGTTGTCTGCTTCGGTAGCACCTTTCTTCTGAATTCTAAGATAGTTTATACCTTCTTGTTCCTTTGTTTTTGGGTTTTGATGGAAGTAAGACATGTAGATACCTCTATTTTGAGAAGACTCTACTGTACTTCACCCTGAATTCTTACAAATTGTACACAGCCATATAGAGTATGCACACTGCAGTCTCTATTCATTTCAGTGCAAATGTTTGCCTATAACCTGTGCTACCTACTCATGCACTACACATACCCCATTCACTTTAGTGGAGACAAGCTTTCATTTAAAGCAAATAGAGGCTGTGGTGCATGTGCATGTTCCTATGTGCAGTATTTTGAAGAGTTTGGCAGAACAAAGGTAAGTATAACCTATGACCTAATCACTGGAAGAGGAGGGGTAGCAGTAAAGGAGAAGTGCACTAAAAGTTCTCACTTATTCTTTTATAAGTCTACAAGTGTGTTCTTTGCACTTATAAGTATGGCTTTGTCCTTTGATGAGCCGTTTAGGTTTGATTTAATCTCTTCTAAGAGATTGCATATGCAGATTGCTGACCTTCTGTACAGGAAGGAACCCTTCTATTAATGACAGTTACATTATCCGGGGATAAGAATTTCATTAAGTTCCGTTTCATTCCTCATATTCAAGTAATACAGATTCCCAGCACTATTAGGAAAAGATTAGACGGACGTATATATCAATGCCTCCACAGTAAGTAACCTTAGGTATTAATTAACCCCTACTTAAAAAGCTGACCCAAAGCACCACAGGGACAAAATATGTCAGCGGATCATTTTTAAAAATTACTCGTGCATCAAGGATATGTATCTATTAATATGGATAACCAGGCCTGGGGTTCTCTATGACCTCCATTTGTCCAGCAGGAACAGCAGATCGGGGACTTTTATTTTTTTTCTCTAATTTAATGTGCATTTAAAGTTTGATTTTTTGCAGTTAATGTTTAATAGAAGTTAATTGAGCCTGTGTTAAAAGTCACTAGACCTCATCTGCCACAATCTGACTCAATTTAGCAAGAAGTCTCTTAGTGGTTGCAGTTATAACTCATATTTGATATACTCTGCTACCGTATTTACATACAAAGCAGGCTATATATGGGAAGAGCTGAATGTATCAGTGCAATATTATTCGTAAAACCTCACTGCAAAATCCTGCCTGCTGCTGTGTGTATTGAAAATCGACATGTTTGCCTGTTACTGTAACATGATCAGTCCTAGTATTTTAATAAAAGAAAAACTGATGGGTACAGAAGTGAGCCAAGTGAGTAGGAGAAGACATTAATGAGGGAGGTCTGTATACCCAGTTGCACACAAAACATCTCCCTACAAGGAAGCCAAAATTGTTTTTTTTTGTTAGTTTAAGTACATTCTAGCCTTGAGTAACATTACATTTTTTTTAAAGATGTATGCATCAGTTATAGCAATTTTTTTTTATAAAAGTGAAGTTACTATGTAAAATCAGGTTAGAAACAGAAAATAAATATGAACACTGCTTTGTAATTAGAAAACACGGCACAAGACGAGTATAATATTAATCAGTGACATGTCATGATCAGTCTTTAATTTGGTCCAGGTGGCAATCATAAGTGGTAGCAGAAATTATTTGATTCTCATACTAAATGTAGAGAACCACTTCTAATCTACCCTCAATGGGGGTAAATACCTAGAAAACTTGGTGGCTTTGTGTAAAGAAAATCCATAAAAACAGCAAGTGGAATTGTTAAGGTCCTAGGTGCCAATCAATCTTGATTATAACATCCTTGGCATTAACCTAAGCTCTATGTACACAATAGGCCCTGCTTGGACCCACCCAGATCTTTTCATTGTAATGTAAAATCAGGATCACTTAAGTCACATCCCTTTTAGTCTACTTCCCTTCCCTATCAGTTGTTTAATTTGCTGTTACAATAAAATACTTAAGCGTTCACAGCAAACGTTTACAGTCAATTATAATGAATACCCTGTTTCCCCGAAAATAGGACCTACCCCGAAAATAAGACCTAGTACTATTTTGGAGAATTGCTAAAATATAAGATCTACCCCGAAAATAAGACCTACCCCGAAAATAAGACCTAGTGTGTTTTTTTGAGCCCAAAAAAATATAAGACAGTGTCTTATTTTCGGGGAAACACGGTATTGTGAACCAGAAGCAAAGCAGCTGGTTCATTTAAAATTGAAATGAGCAATGTGGAGTAGAAAGTATATTTACTAAGTATACAATTAAAATATAAAATTCCCCAGTACTTGTCCTACAAACAAGAAAAGAGGGCCTCTATATTCTGAGACAGATGACTCTACTATCCAAAGTGTTTCAGGTTTCGCCATCCTAGTTTCTCTTTCTACTCAGTTGTTACATAGTATTTGAGGTTGAATAAAGACATTAGTCCATCAA